AAAAATGGTTTTCTATCAGCGAAGATGTGTACCACAGGCTAGGTGAAAACTGGCAGAGATACTATACATAAACTTCTTAACCCAATTTAGGAGGTTTAATTACATAATCTTTAAGGGCACATTAAAATTCAGGGTTCTAATATTCAGTGATTTTGTCTGTGAGTCTTCAAGCTGTTATGAAATTAAAGGCATGTGGTCCCATGCATACAGTGGATGCTTTCAGATGCTTATAGTATGTTTAAGTTGGGGTGCCTGGGTAGCTCAGCCAGTTAAAGTGTCCAGCTCTTGGTTTTGGCTCAGGCCATCATCTTATGATTTCAGGAGTTCAAGCCCCACAGTGGGCTCTGCACTGGCAGCATGGAGCTTGCTTGAGATTCTCTCTCTCTCTCTCTCTCTCCCTGTCTCTCTCCCTCTCTCTCTGTGTCACTCCTCTACTCACGCTGTCTCTGTCTCAAAAAAAAAAAAAATCAACTTTAAAAAAAAGTATGTTTAAACGTAGAGAAGTACACAAAAATCTCATTCATTAAGAAAACCTGTGAATATATATAAGCCATGTAAGTTTAGAAAGGTATTCCATTATTTGTGTTCAGAACAGCAGAGAATGCTTTACTTCTCTCAACACTCTTCATATTAGCTCTGAAAAGAAATCTATGAAGTAAGATATATTGTAAAATCCTGGATCTAAAATAAACAAAAAAAACCCTTCAAAACTGCAGGTTTAAAACATTATTAAATAAACACACTGCAAAAGAAAAATGCACAACTTGAAAAAAATATCTGCAGGTTATAAACATCAAAAAATGGAAAAAGGTAGCACCAATTCTGAGGACCATCTGTTTAAACATGATATATATACACACCAGCAAAACAAACACGAGTTACAGCTAAAATGCAAAAAATAAAGGGCGGTGATGAAGAGAGAAAATCTGTCATAGGATTAACTTACCCTATGAGATTTCAAAATATATCCGAATATAAAACATAATAGTCAAAACCATATGAACACAGGAAAAATTCCAGAAATTGATGAAAAATATTTGCAGAACTTAATACAGAAAAAAAGAAAAAAGAAAGCAGAACAACAATAAATGATGTGCTAACAAATGCCTAGTAATATTTATGACATCATACATTTCAGTAAATTCTGGATGACTCAATCATTCAGTGAATCATTTCATTTATTAATCATAAAAAGAAAGAGTGAAATGGTTTTTCCACCCCAGCAATGAGCTGGGGTAAAATTGGGGTTGTTGGAGAAATGGGTTTTATTATTAAAAAAAATAATGGTTTGAAATACAGAATTAAGTTATATAATATCAAACATCACTAATAACTAGATAAATCACAATTCATTACAAATAAAGTTATAATAATTAACAAGTTACAGTATGCTTCTCATCCAAAATAGCATGAATTCAGAGAAGGCTGAATTCAAATGGTACTTATAGATACTGCTGATGAGAGTACCTATTGCTAAAAAGAACCATCACAATGTTCCTATCCACCCACATGTTGGTTTCTACATGCTATTCTCTACTAGAAGAAAATAGAATTTCTTGGAAAATGGCTGAACCTAGGCATGGGGCAGGGGCAGGGTAAATAAAAATGAACCAGAATGGTGCCAGAGGGTAGAGGAGTGAGTAAAAATAAAGTAAGAGAGTTAGTAAGAAAGAAAACAAGGGAGTAACTAGCCTGTGTGTGGAGGAACATGTCAGAAGGCCACTGAGACCAACCTGAAAGAACTTCTAAGGGCTAAATCCAGATCACTTTGAGCCCCAAATAAGTATTATAATATTATTAATTATAAGATAAATAATAAAATAAGTATTCATGGGTCCACACTGATATAAATAGGTAATTGTATAAATGAATACATGGGAGAGAAGGGATAACTCTCCTTATAAAATAATTCCACTTCTAGCAATAGCAATCTAACTTGGGGGAAAACGTCGAAGATGCAGTTGAAGACTTAAATGTTCAAAGATGTTTTATGTGTTAACTGCAGTGATATTATAATAATTAAATTTCTAAAATAGTGTTTTTTCTTTTGATGAATTAGTTTACAGTCATAACTGCATTTTTAGAAAATGTTTCTCAGGAAATATTCATGATATAATGATATGCATGATATCAAGAAGTACCTCTGTATTTACAATGTGTACTCCAGTTTGCATACTGTATGTATGTGTGTGTGTGTGTGTGTGTGTGTGTATAAACATAAGATATGCTCCAAATGTTTACGTCTGATTGAAATAAGAAAAGTCTGAATGAAATAAGAAAATGATAATCATACATAATCCTATTCATTTTTCTTTGCCAAATTTCTAATTTATTATTTTTTCTAATAAAACTTAAACTGCAGGTAAATTGAGGGGACATATAATTAGTGAAATTATATCTCAAATATCTGTATCTGAGATAATTTGGGGGGTAGTGTAGGTAAATACATGACTTTAGGTTATTCGTTTGCTGTATATTAGTTCAAAAAAACACCATTAATTTCTCTATTGCATTGCTTTATGTGACAAAATTCAGGGTAAACTCTGAAAATGTTTTTTTCTACCATAAGAGGAGACTATAATAATAAGAGGAAGCATTTTGTTAATATATTATTATTATATAATAAAGGTAAATTATTATTACATAATTGATTGAGCTAATCCCACTCCAACTATGCAGTACGTCCATAACTATTTTAAGTAAACTTGAACACAGATAAATCTGTAAGACATCCATTTATATATGTTAAACAACTTCTTTTATGTAGTACTATCCTCTCCAAAACATGTACTCTATATACAATTGTGTAACATGTAAAATGTTAACAAAAGCTTTAACTTTGAAACTATTTGACAATACTGTATTAAATCATTATCAGACAAAACTATGTATTTTATTTCATATACTTAAAGTGTCTTATATCCTAAAATGTTTATAACATGAAAAAGAATGGATGAAATCAATATGGATAATAAGTTAAAAATAAAATCATTTAGAGGGCACTATGTCATAATTTGGCTCTAACTATTCACAAAGCCAATCTAGTTGTGAGTTCTATGTTGATGGCAACTTCTATCTGGTTTTAGACTATAATCAAACAATGCTTCACATTCAAATGAATGTGATTCATCTAATCTTACCAAATATTTATCTGCCAAATATTTTTACTTTTGAAAATATAGTTTTGATCACACAGATACAATCTTCTGATAAAATACAAGCTATGGATAAAAATATGTAATTTCAGATAATTTCGAACTCTGTTCTTAATGAGATGTTTCAGGGAACATCAAAACACATGTGGCAGAATTCAGTATCCCGCATATTATTTCTACTACAAATGTATGATGTCTCAGGGGCACCTGGGTGACTCAGTCAGTTAATCATCCAACTTGGGCTCAGGTCATGATCTCACGGTTTGTGAGTTCAAGTCCTGCCCTGGGCCCTGTGCTGGCAGCTCAGAGCCTGGAGCTTGTTTCACATTCTGTGTCTCCCTCTCTTTCTACCTTTCCCCTCATCATGCTCTGTCTTTCTCTCTCTCAAAAATAAATACATATTAAAAAACTAAAAAAAAAGTATTATGCCTTGAAACCCATCAACGGACAGAACAAGACACTGAAATGGATTATACTTCTTCACCTTATTTTCTGGAGCGCAGCATACTGTCTGGCTTAGAGTTGCTGGTCAATAAATGTTCAATTAAAGAAAATGGAAGTATACTACTTCCTTATGACATAAGTTTTGACAAGCTTTCATTTTGATTCATGTAAAAGTTATGCAACTGACATGAATCTAACTGATATTAGATCCATTAACTAATAAAACTGATATTATTTAGAAAAGAATATGCCCATATATAGTTCGAACAAGTAGGTGTGAACATAAAGAACATTGATATAAACTTTCCCCCGTGTGAATCTTCTACAGAGGATGAGGACCATCGGCACTAAGAAAACTTTAGAAAGCCACAGTTTACAAACATGATTTAGAAACGGTTCCACTGTTAATCAAGTGATGAAAGATTGATGTTTCATATAATTAAACTCCTGATGAAAATGTGAGTAGTGAAAAATCAGGAAAACAAATTGGTAAAACATAAATTTAATTTTATAAGTATCCATATTTTCTTAGGACTCATTTTCTTAAAGTAAAAGGAAATGTGAATTTCAGAAGAAGAGAGCAGGGCAACACTGTTTATTCTCTCCAGACTCTTAAGATACCCAAAGGGCTGGGACAACCTGGCCCTTTTGTTGAAATTAATCAAATTAACAAAAAATATTTTGATATAAAAGCCATGTAGAGGGACACAACCGTAGTTAAAATTCTGATTATCATACTTAATAGTCAAACTTGTAATAGGTCATACTTTTGAAAGTATCTGTATGTCTGTCTGTATATACACATAAACACCTATACGTGTCTGCATGTGTAAGCATATGTGTATACATATATCCATGAAAACCTAGACTTACTAATATGTCTTGGGAATAATGCACGAACACATTCTTCTTATACAGAACCAAACCTTCTTATATGTTTTTGACATAATTCACAAAAATATTCCCCAGAATAAGGCAAATAGCATTTTTTTATACTGCATTCTTTTCAGGAACCATTATGAGATACTGTTTCCTGATATCCCTAGAAGTTTCTTGGAGTTTTAAGAGCAGATGCTTGTTTTGCTTCCTAATAAAAATTTGGAGGAATGTGTCAAAATAGATTAAACTATGTCAGAGTCTTCAAGAGAAAACACTTTTCTTCTTTCAAGAAGGTTTTTACGTAGCAAAAGAAAAAAAAATGAGCATTGCAAGCAGTTCTGAAAACACAACTGAGATGCAATTTGATAAATAGCCTTCTATCATCTAAGCCAAAGAGGTGGAAAAGCATGCTATCAGCACTTTCATCAAAGGCACTATTGACTCTTCTTTTTCTATCTCATTTTATCATGACTTTCTCATTTTGTTTACTCAGTCAGTGATTGGGAAAAAATGACTCCTTACCCCTTGGATGAGTTATGATGGAGTCCACTGGAGAAGGGTCTTTTTCTCCATCTTTGCTGCTGTCACCACCGCTCTCACTGCCACCATCTCTTTCAATCAGTTTATCCACCATGGCAATAATGCAATTCAGGCTCTTCCCCACACTGGCCCACACCCTATCCTGAAAAGAGCATGAGCATCACTACACAGTTTTATTGCAAATACAAGATGAGGCAAAATCTGACGAATCCATATTAGAGTAGCATGTAGAGGAGCAATCATTAGAATGCAGACTGAGTGATTAATCTGAACACTTCCATTAATTTGGCCTGACTATGAATATATAAGAAATCTGTTTCCCCTAATACAGCAAAATCTAAGTGCTATACATTTTTATTTAGTTCATTATTTTCCTCTATCCTAAAGCAATGATGAACTACTATACAATACTAAACCATAATTGAGCACAGCCTATAATATTTTAAACTGGACATACCTATATTTCTTATCAACACTTAGTAAGAAAGCAAAATCACAACAATATTGTTAAAGAATAGCCATTATGTGTCTTTAAAAATCTTGTTTTTACTTTTTATTGTGTTGATATACATAACATTGTTTACCATTTAACGATTTTTAGAGTGAGGGAGAGAGAGCATACACATAAGCAGTGGAGGGGCAGAGAAAGAAAGGGAAAGAGAACCCAAAGCAGGCTCTGCACCATGACCACAGAGCCCAATACAGGGCTTGAGCTTACAAACCATGAGATCATGACCTGAGCTGAGGTCAAGAAGGGGGGGGGGCCTAACCGACTGTGCCACCCAGGTGCTCCCAAAGTTATTTCTTAATAAAAAAATTTAAATGTAATTATCATTATGGTAGCTTCTCATCTCTAGCTTTCTTTCTTGCTCCTCTCTCCACATCATTTAGATGGAGTCACTGACTCCCCATCTGTGATGGCTAATTTCATGTCAACTTGATTGGATCACAAGTTGTCCAAGTACTTGGCTAAATGTTACTTGTGGGTGTGAATATATATGACAGTACTTAGTAGTTTATATGTTTTTACACCACGGCATATTTTTTATCCAAGTTAATTTTTCTAGTTTATAAACAGATAAACTAATTTGGGGTAAGATAAGTCTAGGAAGAAAGAACTATAGTTGAGTTTACATTATTTGATGGTTGTCTTGTAAAGACTAAGCTAGTTGAATAACATAACATATAAGTATGGGAGTTTACAGGTATGCCTACTATAGGTGAGGGGGATAAGTAGATCAAAGCTTAAAAAAGTAAGTTTGAGGTCCACCTGTAGATGACATACTACCTTGGGAAAATTGCCTCATTTCTGGGGAACCACAGTTGGTTCATCTACAGTTTAGAATAATAATTCTCACCCTGCCTCCCTCACCATGGTGCAGTGGGAGCCAAATAATATAGCCAAGTAATATAGGAGACGGTGTTATGTCTGAACTATGACCCAGGAGATCTAAAGAAGCTCACCTCTTCTGGGCTGAAATGTAGGTAAACTGAAGCAAGCTGAGGTCCTGACATCACTTATTTGGGATTTGGTGAGGAGCTTACATTCCAGACCAAAGTAACAACCTTAATGGAACCCATTCTGAATATGGCTTAATCACTGGCAAGGACTGCATCTTTAAAGCTATTCAATTGAAAAATGAAGCAACTCTGTTATTATGGGGGGGAAAAGGGAAAGGATTATTCTTAATTATCCAGATTAGCTTTGCACATGAGATAAATTTTCAACTATCTTCCTGTTGCCAATGTTGAGAAGAATTTCATATTTTGATCAAAAATCAAAATACTATTGCATGCTGCCTTTCTTATATGAAGTAATATAAGGGGTTAACCAACTTGTTTTGATTACATCTCCAAAAGCCTGAATATAAGAATATATAAAAGGATAGGTTTACATACTAAAACTATATGTTGTTCTTCCTTTATAGATACCTTGGGTTATTGGATTATACTCACTGAAAATTTACAGCCAGTAGAGAGATCTTTAGTGGCATAAGGTGCAGAGTGAAGCATGTTCACTCAAGGAAACCAACAACCATATAGTAAAAGTTTATATGGTAAACAGTAGAACAACACTGAAGTCATGAAATACTTAGAGGACACTCAAGCTGGGAGGATGTTTGTTGGGAGTGAGAAATTGAGCAGTTTCTCATGCAAGACGAATACACAATTCATACATAATCAAGTGTTTTGTTTGTTTGTTTGTTTTACTGAAGACACACTCAACAGCAGACCCTAAGTAGACTCATGCTGGTCTTTATCTTTTATTTATTTTATTTTATTAAATTTTTAAAAATGTTTTATTTCTTTCTGAGAGAGAGAGAGAGACAGTGTGAGAAGGGGAGGGTCAGAGAGAGAGGGAGATACAGAATCTGAAGCAGGCTCCAGGCTCTGAGCTAGTTGTCAGCACAGAGCCTGATGCGGGGCTCGAAACCACGAACTGTGAGATCATGACCTGAGCAGAAGTCGGACGCTTAACTGACTGAGCCACTCAGGTGCCCCATGGTCTTTATCTTTTAGAGAGGAGATCCTGCCTACGTGGTAGGGAGACAATGCTGAGCTTTACCAGTCACTGCAAAGATGACTTTACGTCATCTCCAAAGTAGGTTAAAGTTATCGATTTACATTGCTGTCTCTAATACTAGTCCAAGAGTTGTTTGAGGGCTGTGTCTTCACTGCATTACACAGGGCTTGGAGGAAAGGCAAAGAGAGAGAAGAGGAGCAAAGAAGAGAGGAGAAGGGAGATGACTCCAACCCAGAGGCAGGTTGAGGCTGTTATTTATATTCATCTGGTATACAAAATTAGCTAATTTTCCTTCAAAACTACCACATTAAATTAACATTATGGATTTAGCCTTTAGAGATGAGGACACGTCAGTTAAGAGATGTTGAGTATCATTCAATATTAAAATGGTATAAATAATTAGAAATTCTATTTGATTTCAAAGACTTGATTCTTCCCCTATGATTTCCCATAGAATTGTGGTACACAGTAAAAATTCTTTGTGAGATTACTAAAACCCTGGGGACAAGCTAGACACAGGAAGGTCAAAAGAAAGAACTGCAGGAAGAACCAGGCAGAGGGTGTGTGTCACCTCACATGAGTAAGAGTAGATGCCAGTTTCTAAGACTTGAAAATGAGTCCAAAGGCAGGTCATTAAGAGATGACATTGAAAAGGACAGGCTGGTCACATGAATTCTTAAGTTTGAAATAAAGAGGGATATATAATCAAGGATGGAACAGCCACTTGGCTAAAGAGTCAACGAGCTCAGGTCAAAGAACATAAGTGGCTAACATAAAAAGAGGACAGTGTCAGCCTCAAAATCACTCATGTGACTGGGGTATAAAAGCAGGAATGGGTTATAGGGAGAAAGCATAATTCAATTCCTAGGAGATAATTACTAATTATTCTCAGAAAAATCACTATTTTGAAATTAGGATGCTAAAAATGGGAATGCGATATTCTTGAAGGGAAACCTTGAATATCTGATTTCTTTCCCCACCAACAAACACTTTCCATAATATCTCTGTGAAAACAATCACACAAAGGAAAATAATCAGCAAAACTGCATTCTTACTCTGGTCATTTTCATGAGGACAGTCCATGTAGGAGTTTCATTTTGCTTAGATTGCTGGTATGGCTGGAGCTTACTCCACTTTCTTCCCTGCTAAAATCACAATTATTTTCAGACTGCTTCCATGAAGAGGAAACGCTGGTTAGTGAGGCAAAGGCAATGGAAGCATAAATATGTGGCTATAGTATATATTTGGTGCTTCCATACCTCCCCTTTTCGGGAGACAGATACTCCTCTAGATCCTGCTTTAATCTCTCAGCCACTTGGGAGGTGTCAAGACAAAACAAACCAAAACTGAAACTAAAACCAAAGCCAAAGCTAAAACCAAAACCAGAACCAGAACCAGAACCAGAACCAAAACCAAAACCAAAACCAAAACCAAAACCAAACCAAAAGCAAAACAACCACCTATCAGAAAAACAGATTGGCGGGGTGCCTGGCTGGCTCAGATGGAAGAGCATGTGACTCTTGTTCTCAGAGTTGTGAGTTCAAGCTGCATGTTGGACGTACAGCCTACTTGAATAAATATATGAATAAACTTAGAAAGGGCAAAAAAACCCAAAAAAACCAAAACATAGAAACAGATTGCTGGGCCTTCTCCCGCCCCCCAAAATAGCAGCCATTATTCTGCTATGTCTCCTGCTGAATGAAGTAAGTAATGGAAAATTGGTGGGTTACAGTCTAACCTTTATTAAATGAAGGTTAACTGCTGTCCTTGGCCTTAATGGAGTCTTTAGACAATTCAACTTCTTCAAAGTGAGTGGCTATAAACTATTTCTCGGCAATGTGGGCACAAAGTCAATGGAAAACTAGTAGCAATATTTAATCCATTCTGAGTCAGGTGCTGATTTTGGTGCTTATTTATTTCTGGTTTAGGACCTAAGCCCAGTGGCAATAGGTGCACAAATTTAATGGAGGTACCAGTAAGTAGTTAGTGAGACTTAGCACCTGGCAAAGTGAGCCACGAGGGCAGGGGACGTGGTGCTTATTCAGCATGTCACACATTTATGAGCTTGGAGTTATCCAGAGAAATCCTGACCCCTGTGGATCTTAAGTTAACTTAAAAATGTAAAAATAAGGGGCTTCTGGGTGGCTCAGTTGGTTAAGCATCCAACTCTTGATTTCGGCTCAGGTCATGATCTCATGGTTCTGAATTCAAGCCCCATGTCAGGCTCTTGTGCTGACAGCGTGAAGCCTGCTTTGGCTTCTTTCTCTCTCCTTCTCTCTACCCCTCCCCTACTTATGTGCACATACATACTCTCTCTCTGTCGCAAAAATAAATAAATAAACTTTAAAAAATATATATTTAAAAAATCAACAATGCTTAGCAGCTGATGGATTTTTCTAGGGCCTGTTTTTGATCAGCAAGAATGTAAAGACTAACCCAGAGTTGAAATGAAGTCCAAAGTAGCCTTGTTCTATCTATATTTCTACACATAATTTCCCACTTGTCATTAGCAATTTTTAAGGACTTCAATTAGAACTAGCCAGTGAATTAATAAGGCCAGTCCCATCTTCAAAGAGAAACTTAAGTCTATCCTTGAGTCGAGTGAGTGTAATTTGTAC